ATTTACTATTCACTACAGCCCATCACAAGTCGGCTGCTGAACAAAGTCTTCCCTCACAAATTTCCCCAAGTACGGTCCTTAGCTAGCTGCATTCATCGACTACCTGTGTTTCATCAGGTTGTTACTCCATCACGTTAGTGAAGGGTCGTCCAGCATTGCATTTGCCTGTACGAGGTTTCCACTCAAGAACCATTCTTCCAAATCCGCTGTCGGTTCTTCGAGCTACATGGTCGGCCTATTTTTGTACATATGTATCTTAAGACCTATCCGTGGGAAAACACTACTGACGTCGTTCAGTACAGTGCTAAGGTACTCCAGGGATTTTGCCGTAATAACAATATCGTGAACAAATTAAAGGTGAGTGATGTATTCGCCAGTGATGTTAATACCATATCCTTTCTAGTCCAGTAGCTTGGAAATGTCTTCCAATGCAGCGGTGAAAAGTTTCGGATATAAAACGTCATCCTATCTTACACCCCTCTACACTTGGATAGGTTTCGTGTTTTGGTTCTATACTTGGATAGACATCGTAGCGTTACTATCACCTTGATATACCGACTGATAACACTGCGCCGCTTAAAGGACTGTAGTAGAAAATTCACCTGAATCGAAGGCTTTCACATACTCAAGATATAACAGAAGCTCTCTTCAATCTTTTTTATAAACTGCCGAAGGGTATGCATGTGGTCTATGGTACTAAAGGCTATTCTGAAACCGGCTTTTGTTCGGGAGGAGCTAAGCCTCCTAGGTTTAATCAACTTTCAAGAATAAAACTATTATTGAAATACTTTTATGTTTTATTTTACATTAAAACGAGTGTTCTAACCCTCATCATCACCCTATTAATAATCCTTTGGTGGATATACTTTTTCCATAATGAAGTGAATTTGTCGTAATCGCCACTTTTGATATACAAATTGTTGATGGTATTACCAAACTCTAACAATAATCACCTTGATAACAAATTAAAATAACAACAAATGCGGCTGCCGACGCGCCTGCCAAGCCTAGCAACTATGGCAAAATTCCTCCCATGAGGCAATCTACGAGGGAGGCCTATATTCAGCAGTGGAATTTTATAGGATATAATGGATTAGCAAGCATATTCTACTTTATACGCTCCTCCCTGCTGCTGACTTGAATATTTTACATTCAATAAGCAACCTATACCGCCATATTTTGCAGGTCTTGAAACCTTTATTTTTTTTCGCATTTTCGGCTCCTATGACACGTATAGGCAGATATAGAGTGATGAATTATCTTACGCTGTCACTCCACGGAAAATAAATATAACTCTTTATTATACATACTAAATTTATACCTTTTTCTTTTTTCTTATTCTATTTTTAGTAGTTTTACTCTTGGTAGTACATTTTAAGTCCCTTGATAACGCCATGAGATGTCTAACTTATTTACAATTTTTATGTTTTTTATATTTTTGTAAATCTTTCATGCTTCATTTTATTTCATTTCAAACATAGAGTTTTTGTATAGAGGCACTTGTTTTACTCTTTGACATAGAGTAACATTGTAAATTATTTATTTCTAAAACACTCTTGAAAGACACGTGCAATTACAATATAGATCTAAAATCTACAGTGTCCAACGGAGGATGGCTATAAGGAACGTGCGAGGATGACAAGACACCATTTGAGGCGGCAACAGACCTTTCTGGTGGTTATGAATGCGACAGTGTACAATCGAATCCACACCCTCCGTCCGAGCAGTGGCAGTGAGCCAGATGGGGCGTTCGAGTCAATTAGGCCTTTGACACGGTAGACGATGACGTTCTTCTAGCAAAGTTGGGTAGCGCAGGCTGCACACCACACACATTATCATTTTTCGCCTGTTATTTACGAGACCGATGTTAGTATGTTGACTACAGCGGACGGCTTTCCGAACCTTACTTTAAAAGACCAGGTGTCAGTCAGGGCAGTAATTTAGGGCCTCTTCTCTTCATTTTGACAATTAACGATTTACCGGAAGTAATCAGTAAGTCTACACCCTTTTTATTTGCTGATGACCTAAAACTAGTTTTTAAAATAAAGCAAAAGGCGGATCATGACATACTACAGCAGGATATAAATAATTACTTAGAGCGGAGTTTTAAAAATAAATTATATTTCAACGTGGTGAAATGTTCTATTCTATCGTTCATCCGTGCACATAACCCGAGTCATTATCAATATTACATGAATGGTACCCTTAAATCATTAACCTCATCAACACGCTGCAGTGTTAATGATTTAGGCGTGCGACGCACTATGGATATACAATTTCGAAAACACTAAAAATGCATACCGCAATTTATGGTTGGTTTTAGGGCTAGCGAACCAATTCACGAACATCGGTGCTCTGAGAGAATTATACGAAGCACTTGTAAAAAGTCATTTAGAATGAAATGCTGTCGTTTGGTCACCACATGAATCCAAATATAAATTAATGTTAGAACGTATTCAGAACAAATTTGTGAGATTTAGGTATTTAAAACAATATGGTGTGTACCCGGGTTGGTGTGTACTGTTGTACCCTACTCTATTCATACTGGGCATGATCGGCTATTATAAACTATAAACCAGAAGGGAAGTCGCTTTCGCCACTTACTTACTAAAAGTGATCCGTGGTAAAATAGATAACCCAGGTTTTTTTATTACAGACAGTTAAGATGTATGTCCCTGACGAGTACGTAGGACGACGGCGGCGGCCGCTGCTCTTGTCGGCTACTTGAAGACTCACCCATATACATACACATACATATACTCGTCATTACTGGGCACAGGTGCTTTGGTGATCATCTATGTAAGATTGGAGGTGAAGAGACGGTGTACTGCTTTCAATGCGGTAGGCGAAACCAGCCCAACGTGAGAACGGGAGCGGACGATTATAGTGAGTGGGATCAATCGGACCTCTCCCTGCCAGCAGTTGTGTCAGCGATGCTAAGCGAGGATTTGCCGTGGAGGGCTGTAGCTACATTCTGTGAGTCAGTTATTTTGGGATCGGGGGAGGACAGATTCGTCTATTTGTAAAGGCCCTCCACCCTTGATGATGGTACTCCTCTACCGAAAGGGCCACAGAGATTACGGGCGTTCGGAGTGGGGTGCTTTAATGCCTAGTAATGCACTGCGAAGTTGCTGGTTGCTAGTATTGCCCCCGTGACGTGCTTCCAATAAAGTAAAGCCAGGGGCCCCGTTTGCATTCCAAACAGAGATCCCGGGACCCATCGTATTCGTTGATGGCGACAACTGTGGGATTTTAGCCGGTAGGAGTCCAACATAACCTTTATGTTACCCCGCAGCTGAAGGTATCCATGAGGATTTCTCCACGATAAAAAAAACACTTGAAATGTTCAGGGCTTGTTGCAGGCGTACAGCAGGCCTCAATGGAAAGGAAAAGGATGGTAGAACAACGAGTGAATGCAGCACACAGAGTAAATGGGCTCTTTATTCTATTGTGGGAAGCGAGAATGTGTCAAAAAGGCACGTATGGCAATTCAGAATGCTAGTCCCATCCTTAATGTATGATAGTGAAAGTAGATACGCGTGTGGACAATATACTGTCCATGACAGTAAGCATTTTTCTACAAGGGTCATCGAAAATACCACTTTCTAATCTGTTTCTTGGGGAAAATTGTTTAATAATTTTATTAGACTTAACTCTCCAGACATTATTAGGATTTTATACATTTTGTATTAAAATCCACCACAAGACAGGCAGGTTTAGCTTATACCGGCTAACATGTTTTTTGAATGAATAAAATTATAATTATTTATTTTGGATCTGACATGGTAAAAAATCGATTAATTTTTAAAGTTATTCAGTTTCGTATACTAAACTAATTTTGTTGAACCGTTTTACCATTCCCTTAATATTTCCAATTGTAGTATTTTGGTCGCACTGAAATTATTTATCGAAAGTCCATAAGGTGAAAGCTCCAGGGTGTAATTCAAATTTTCTTACGTTTTTTGGAATTTGCAGGTCAGGGTTAGGTAATGAGTATGTGTTTACAGAATTATTATCATTAAAATCACCATATAATTCCTTTGAATGCGTTTTTCTGGAAATAGCCATACAATGGGATTATACGAACTTAGAGGGTTGTATTAGTGATTTTAATGATAATAATTCTGTAAACACGTACTCGTTACGGTCGCGAATCATATTTGTTAAACCTACAACCTAACACTGACCTAAAAATTGCAAAAAACGTAAGAAAATTTGAATTTCGCGGGTTACCCGCGCTTTCACCTTAAAGGTAAATTAAACATTAAACATTACTATATATACTTTATAGTTAGCTCACACAATGACAAGTCAGGTCATCTATAAGCAATTCCAAATGAATTAAAGAAGTGTACCTACATTTCTCCGCTCACTTTAACTCCCGTCTTTTCCGCCTGGATTGATCCGTAATACGCGAGAAAGTCGAAGTTAAAACAACAATGAGATTTTTGTCAGTTCTTTTCTAATATTATCATAGATGTAGAATATATTCGCGTATGTGTTTATGAATATTATTATACTTATTCTTTCTCCCAAGATGAAGTACGTTTTTTTCAACCAACTTCAAAAAAAGGTGGAGGTTCTCAATTCGACTGTATTTTTTTAATGTGTTACCTCTGAACTTTTTTCTAGGTGAACCGATTTTGATGATTCTTTTTTATTTCAAAGCTGGTGATAAAGATCTGACCAGTTGTTTTTGAGTTATCCTTAATAATGCGTAATTAATTGACTTTGATCTAAATTGATGATGTTCGAATTTTATTTTATTGAAGTTGGTTGTACAACATTTTAATTTTACCACTTGTTATATTATGATATTTATGTCCTGTGTTTTTTTACCAAAATGTTCAATCTGAAGAGTATATTTTTATCTAACCGAATCTCATCTCATCCCATAGACACTAAAATATCCCACAACCTAATAAGAAGTGCTGGCGCAGAATATCCGAACGCAATGTCATATGACTAATGACGTTCAATGCTACCAACGTACCAACTTTATGAAAAAGTCCTCCATTATTGAGGCAGCTGATATTTGTATCATAGTAGATTTCTTCAAAATAAAGTCTTAAATCTGCAGAAATGGGTGCTTCATTTGTTCCCATCACCATATTCACCGTCCTTTGGGGTGTTGTGGGCATTGTTTGCCCTATTTTCGCTCCCAAGGGACCTAACCGAGGGTAAGTTTTAGAGATGAGACATACTTGCAAAATTTAATACCAGGGCTTCTAAGTACGAGTATGGAAAAATACCAGGGTCGAAAACCAGCTTTTAAAAATACTTGAAAGTATTTGTTAATGTCAATATATATTTGAATGCCTAATTTGATTCGGGCAGAAATTTATACTGAACGTTTTTAATTTTTTTGTTAACGAAATGAAATCTTTCCTTCCTAATTTTCGGCTTAGGACTCTTAATTACCTAATAAAAGTTTTAAAACTGTCTCTAAATTCAATATACACGCGAAATAACTATTCAAAAATTAGGTCACGGTCAGTAGGTTACGTAATCAGTTCACAATAACAATTGAATTTACAAAAAATCGAAACAAAACTTATAGGCCCGCCATATACATACGGAATTCCGTTTCGAGATTCCGTTTCGGAATTCCGAACGGGTCGGCAACACACATACGGAATCCCATTTCGCCCACAAAATTTCGAACGGAAAACTACCGTACGTGTGTGACGGGTCATAGATTTTATATGAACTTGCTGCGTTCGGGATTCCGAATCGGAATATCGAAACGGAATCTCGAAACGGAATTCCGTATGTATGTGGCGGGCCTTACTTCCTCGAATATAAACATAATTCTTATTACTTACTACTTGCGCGACGTGTCCAGCCGCGGTGTCAAAGTTAGAAAATACTTGCATAAGAATTCGACTCGCTTTCCATGTTAGGCTATTATGACTAAGGAGCAAAGTCGTATAAATAAAAAAAATACTTTGAAGTTGAAAGTTTTTTTTTTTTATAGGATAAGTGTGACAAACGAGCACACAGTCCACCTGATGGTAAGTGGTTGCTGCGGCCCATAGACATCTACATCTATCCTCGTTTGCGAATCAAAATGCAGATGCGTTGTTACCCGTGAGGACTAAGATGGAATGCCTCATTTCCAGTAATTTTTCATTCACAAATACGATTGAGTTTCTTATTACTATTGAGATATGGATCATTTTCCTATGCAAGTATTCTCATACTTGAAAGTATTTTTTGGTCGTAAAAGGGCGCCGTACTTTAAAGTTAAAGCCTGGTAGCGTAAATACGTCTCATTGCGATGCGAGGAACGTGTCCAGCCGTGGTGTCAAAATCTGAAAATACTTGCATAGGAATTTCACCCGTATTCCATGTTATCCTACTATGAATAAGGAGCAAAGTCGTATAAATAAAAAAAATACTTTGAAGTTCTAAGTATTTTTCATTCACAAATACGATTGTGTTTCTTACTACTATTGACATATGGATAATTTTCCTATGCAAGTATTTTCATACTCGCAAGTATTTTTTGCTCGTACCAGGGCGCCGTACTTTGAAGTGAATACCTGGTTTTAAAATCTGGTAGCGTAAATACGTCTCATCTTTAGTAAGTTTGTTTCACTTACAAGGATAAGCGATTTTCCAAAGTTTTTCCTCATCTTATCGTTTTATATTTCAGAATAATCCAAGTGGTATTAATGTTAACGGCAGCGACATGCTGGTTATTGTAAGTATATTTTGAATAACTTAAATGTCTACATTTTACAGTAATCTATGTTTATGATTTCTATTATTTGGGATCTCCTTAAAATTCTAAATTTGGGAAATGTAAGCCGTGGTTTGCTATGAATATCCAAGTGTCTTAACACAGCATCTAACGCTTCCTCTAATCTTGTGGAATTACTATTATATTTGAAACTGAAGAGAAGGAAATGTACTACCTTTGTGATAGTAATCACAAAGATAGTACATAGTAATGTTATTTACAACATACAACTGCTAAGGATATTGGTGCAGTGGTCAAATCTGTATATCTTTGAAAACCATAATGTTATTATAAACAACTATCTGTATGAAATTAAGCTAAAAAAACTAATGCTCTGAGGGTATCATTGTGATTGTTGAATGGCATATTTTGTTCTTTACCCTGTACCATTTGTATTTAGTAGGGCTTTGATTCATGCCAAAAGTTATTAGCTGTTTCATATATAATATACAGAGTTATTTTTCAAAGAGTAGCCAAATTTTAAAATTAAGTTCAAATATATAAATAATAAAAGTAAAAGTTAAGTTGTAGCCTATATACGTCCCACTTCTGGGCACAAGCCTCCTCTTATTTCTGAGAGAGAGGGCAAGGATATGTTTGCCGTACTGCCCCAATCCATTGCGTGTGGACGAACTTCACATGTCTTCGAAATTTGTTTTTAAACTTATTTCTCAGACATGCAGGTTTCCTCGCGATGTTTTCCTTCACCGCCGATAAAATGGTAAATCAACACTTAAAATTGCAATTAACAATTTCATTGGTGCCACCGGAGATCAAACCTGGGTTGCTCGCGTACTGTGAAACTTACAGCGAGCGCTAACCATCTGAGCTATCACAGCTCATTATATAAATAATGATACACTGTTATTGCAGTTGTAGAAAATACGAGTAAATAAAGCTTCGACTTTTATTTAAAATTATCCCAAATTGAATATGATTTATGGGCAACAACATTTTTGCCTACTAATCGACCTTTACGAATGTGTGTGTGTACAGTAAATCTGTTAAAATAATGCATTTTGAGTTTAAAAGATAAAAAGGACAATGTTTAAGATTTTTTTTACCTAACTTTTTAAATCTTTTCTGGAAATTTGACTGGTTATTACAAAATACTACAGCACAATAAATAGTCAAGTCAACACAAGTGTATACTCATCTGCATCTTACATTTCAGGAAAGACCCACTTACCTGTCTTTTGTTAATGCTTTGTATATGGAGATAATTACATCCTTATAAGTTATTCGATTCAAAACCAGATAGTAGACAGGAAATTGTCCTGGATCATTTTTGATTATGGAATTCTGAATTATTAGAGGCTATTAGCTGCACTGCAGTAGACATTGTAATTTCACAATCTACTTTTACGGATTTTATCGCGTTTAATTAAGTGATTTTATATTCCCGACGTTTCGGTTGCTTTCCAGCAACCGTGGTCACGGGGGACTGAGGTGATTAACGTCCTGATGTCAAAGTTAACCCGGAGTACCTTCAGCTTTTTAATTATTAATTTTGGTCCGATCTACGCAGAATGAACTAACTGTGTCTTGAAGTCTTGCAGTGGTATGCTTGGGTTTAGTTTTAATTTTATGAATACTACCACCTGCTTGGGATCCTGTAGATCCCAAGCAGGTGGTAGTACCCAGCCTCCCTCTCTATTGAAATTAGGATGTTTTTTAATTTCAATAGCCTCACGTATCATCCTTGGCAGGAATCGATGTTCTTTTGCGAGAACTTGTGGTTTATCAAATCTAATGTAATGGCGGGGGCCGTCTAGGATATGATCACAAACTGCAAACTTCCCGGAACGTTGGTGCTTCACGTCAGCTATGTGTTCTTTTACGCGGGTTTTTATTGATCGTTTTGTTTGCCCTATATATGAGAGACCACACTCACAATCAAGCTTGTATACTCCTGCATCTTGTAGAGGAATATTGCACTTGACGGATGGTAAGAACTGACTAATCTTCTTCGGCGGCTTGAAGAATGTTTTAATAGAAGCTCGCTTCAAGATGTAGCCAATCTTGTCTGTGACACCTCTGACATATGGTAGTACAGCAGGCACACGCTCGACTGTGGCCGGCTTCACTCGGTCACTGTGACGTAGGCGCGGAACCCGAAGCTTGTTGTCGTGCAGAACCTGCTTGACGTGTTGAAGCTCGGCGGCCAGGTGTTTGCTGTCACAGATCCCTCGTGCCCTCTGCAACAAAGATTTGCCCACGGTAGCTAACTGTGAAGGGTGATGGTGTGATTCTCCGTTTAAGTATCGGTTTGTATGGGTCTTTTTTCTATATACAGTGTGACCTACGGTGTTAATAGGATTTCGAATGACTGACACATCTAGGAAAGCTAAAGAATTATTTGCCTCTAACTCCATAGTAAATTGAATTTTAGAGTTTATGGAATTAAGATGTTCTAAAAATGCAGTTACTTTGTCTGATGGTAAAATTGTGAAAGTATCGTCTACGTACTGCTTGTAGAAACTTGGAGTTACTGGTGCAGTAAGCAGGGCTTTCTCCTCAAAGTCCTCCATGAAAATATCGGCGACAATGGGAGATACCGGTGAGCCCATCGCAACACCATCTACTTGCTTGTAAAACTGTTCCTTCCACAATAGATAGCCAGATGTAAGGCAATGTCTGAGTAATACTGCATATTCTGCTGGCATGTTGTTTTCCTCTAGTTTCCTAGTTACAATTGAGATGCAGTCTTCAACAGGTAGGTAGGTAGGTAGTTTCATTGTCAGTAAGACATAGGTCTTTTATCTCACTGACAAAATGGTATGAATCCTTAGTGTGTGCTCTTGTATGTCCTCTGAGTGGTGATAGTACTTTTGCTAAGTGTTGAGCCAATCTGTAAGTTGGCGAATCGATCTGACTCACTATTGGACGTAATGGAGCGTTCGGTTTGTGTATTTTTGGTAACCCATACAACTTCGGCGGTTTGGCACACGCAGGTATTATCGAATTAACGTCTAGATTCAGTTTCTCGGAGTATTTCTTGGAGTTACTGGTGCAGTAGCACCAGTAACTCCAAGTTTCTACAAGCGGTACGTAGACGATACTTTGACAATTTTACCATCAGACAAAGTAACTGCATTTTTAGAACATCTTAATTCCATAAACTCTAAAATTCAATTTACTATGGAGTTAGAGGCAAATAATTCTTTAGCTTTCCTAGATGTGTTAGTCATTCGAAATCCTAATAACACCGTAGGTCACAGTGTGTATAGAAAAAAGACCCATACAAACCGATACTTAAACGATGAATCACACCATCACCCTTCACAATTAGCTACCGTGGGCAAATCTTTGTTGCAGAGAGCACGAGGGATCTGTGACAGCAAACACCTGGCCGCCGAGCTTCAGCACGTCAAGCAGGTTCTGCACGACAACAAGCTTCGGGTTCCGCGCCTACGTCACAGTGACCGAGTGAAGCCGGCCACAGTCGAGCGTGTGCCTGCTGTACTACCATATGTCAGAGGTGTCACAGACAAGATTGGCTACATCTTGAAGTGAGCTTCTATTAAAACATTCTTCAAGCCGCCGAAGAAGATTAGTCAGTTCTTACCATCCGTCAAGTGCAATATTCCTCTACAAGATGCAGGAGTATACAAGCTTGATTGTGAGTGTGGTCTCTCATATATAGGGCAAACAAAACGATCAATAAAAACCCGCGTAAAAGAACACATAGCTGACGTGAAGCACCAACGTTCCGGGAAGTCTGCAGTTTGTGATCATATCCTAGACGGCCCCCGCCATTACATTAGATTTGATAAACCACAAGTTCTCGCGAGAGAACATCGATTCCTGCCAAGGATGATACGTGAGGCTATTGAAATTAAAAAACATCCTAATTTCAATAGAGAGGGAGGCTGGGTACTACCACCTGCTTGGGATCTACAGGATCCCAAGCAGGTGGTAGTATTCATAAAATTAAAACTAAACCCAAGCATACCACTGCAAGACTTCAAGACACAGTTAGTTCATTCTGCGTAGATCGGACCAAAATTAATAATTAAAAAGCTGAAGGTACTCCGGGTTAACTTTGACATCAGGACGTCAATCACCTCAGTCCCCCGTGACCACGGTTGCTGGAAAGCAACCGAAACGTCGGGAATATAAAATCACTTAATTAAACGCGATAAAATCCGTAAAAGTAGTTTTATTCAATTCACAAGTGTATTCTCTAATACTGATGCAGTCAAGATGTCTTTTCTTGTATATTATTAGCTACCACGCTTATGGTCTCAAAGGAACTGACATATTTGATATCCTGATATAACATCGACCTACTATTAAATGGACAGTGGATCTAGCACAAAATTCATGAAAAATGTGTTTCAAGTCAATCTATATAAGCGTAGATGGATATATATATATATATAGAAATATAAAAACAAAGTATAACAACCTAATTCAAACCATATTATTATTATAAAACTGCTAAACTACAATTTGACTTGTGACAATTTATCAGTCTATTAAATTCGACTAGAGGTTGCACTATTTTCACCTTATGAAACTTCTAGCCAAAATTATAGATTAAAGTTAAAGTTGCAGTGTATACACGTCCCACTGCTGGGCACAGACCTCCCCTCATTTCTGAGTGGTCATAGTATGAATTTAAATGAAATACTGTGTATCTAAGCAAAATATTACTTTTGAATGATTAAATGTTAATAGTCCTTATAGCCTTATACATCATATTGTATGAGTTTAAATAAATAAAATATGATACACCATCCTCTTTCTTCAGGGTAATTGAATAATAATTCAATAATCATTACTAAACTGTCATTTTCCCAATAAATAGATAAAAACTGGACCTAGGCCTCAGCTGCTATGTTGTGTCTTGTTCTATCACACGGACTTCGGATGCTCTACTTTCTCTCTCGTATATATTTAATTGCTCCGATTTTAAAACTTTATAGCAATGCAATAATATTCTATAAACGGTTTTTTGCAGGAAAGCCAATGCGATTCTTTTCATAATTAAATTATCTTTCTTCTGATCCTAATTTTTATTGGTGTCATGTTGTCATGTCATGTATGTGGTGTCATGTCGGTGTAGTTACCTACATTGACTTATCTGTTCGTACTTGCTTGTCAGGTAGCCATGAATAGAAATAAGTAGGCAAGCTTACCAAGGCATATTCTCCATATTAAAAACTAACTGTTTAAACTAAATTAGTTCGATTATCAAAAGAGTGAACGTAATGACAAAAAATTGATTAATATTAATTTAATTAAAAATATCAATGAACACTTTTTGAAAGGCAAACTATATATAAGCAATAGGCGTGTTTATAAATAAATGAAATTACATAAAAAAAAGTCGATCTTCCACAGTCTCTTAGATTTGGTGTATTAAGTCGTTCGATAAAACGAAGACTGGTGTGCGATTGGAACCTCTTTTTGCATTTCGGAACTCTTTTGGCTTGGACACTTTAGAGTGCAGTCCCGAGGTCCATTTAGTAGTAGATCAATGGTTATATCATCATACTGTTTTATGTGGTAGAGCCATAAGAATGAAATAGCAACATAATATTACAGTTTTTTATATGGTGAGCGGAGAGAATTTGCGAACCCTTTACTTGCAATGAGGCATTCCATCTTACTTCGAAAGGGTGACAATGTATCTACATTTTAATTCTTAATCAATTAGAGATGTAAGATTTATGAGCGACAGCATCCATTTACCTATTACCATATGGTGGATTGATGCTGTGGCCCTTATACAATGAAAACCTTATACAATAGAAACTGAATACTGTGGTTACCTTCAGCTTTTAATAGTTAATTGGTGGTCCCATCTATACAAAACATACCACACCATGTGTTCCGTTTTCTTGTATGTATATATTGATGCAACAATTTAAAATATACTTAAAAATATTTGTAAAATAAGTTTTTTCAATGAGTAATATTCAAATCAACATAGTAAATCATTTATTATGTAATAAATAATAAAGTCATATCTATTTCTGCACTTTTCAGCTGGCTGTGTGCGTATATGGCGCAAATGAACCCTCTCATTGGGCCCAGACTAAACAATGAGACTCTAATCTGGATTGCTCACACATGGGTAAGCTTTGTGTGCACATGCCTGCATTTGCTTGTGAGAGATTTCTGGATAACTCGGTATTTAAATAATAAACACTGTGTGACTTCATAACATGTATTGAGCGACTCACTCGAGAAGACGCGCGGTGGCGCCTACCTACATAATACAATATTGATTTATACCTACATATATCACACCTCCCTTCTTAATATATGGTATTATCAGATATTATTAAGTAAGGTACATAAATTATGTAATCACAAATTTACTTATAATAATACCTTAACTATATAATACATTATCTATAAATCTAATAAACTAAACTAAACTTAGTTACTACATCTAATAAACTAATAAACTAAGCTAAACTTGAAACCTAACTTAAACCTAACTTTACTTATAATAATACCTTAACTATATAATACATTATCTATAAATGTAATAAACTAAACTAAACTTAGTTACTAAATCTAATAAACTAATAAACTAAGCTAAACTTGAAACCTAACAACAGGTTTACGAACTCGCCCGGATCGGGCTCGAGGCGGTTCAGGCGACGGTGCACTAGGTGACGTTGGCGGTGTACTATAATCGATTCCAGGACTTTTAATGCGTTCACTCGAAACCCGTTTCCTCTCCTTTCCCGAATCACCCACAACCGTAGTCGGAGATGTGTCCGGGCCGTCGTCCTCCTTCGACATTCCGTCTCTCGCCGAGCCACTACTATCAGGTTTTTGTACCCTCATTGACTCGCTTTGCTCCTCAGGGAATGGTATGTCGTACAACCCTGATCTGCGCTTGATTTGATCCACGTGCTTAACTACTTGTCGACTGTCCCCCTTGTCCACAGAATATCTCCTCGAACCTTCGCCATGAACTATCGTTCCCTTCACCCACCTATCCTTGTGGCCGTACTCTCGCACCCACACAGGTTCCCCCGGTGCAAACGAGCGCTGCACCCCGCCCGTGTACTCCACTTGCTTACTTTGAGCCTGATTTACCTTATTTATGAGCGCGCGATCGCTTCGTAATAAGTCTAGCCGTGATCGTAACGTTCGTTTTTGTAACAGCATTGAAGGGCTTTCACCTGTGCTGCTGTGTATACTGTTACGATAAGTAAGTAAAAATGTTTGCAACGCGGCGTCAACATCGATTGATTCCCTATGTGCTTTTTTTATTGCTTTTTTACAAATATTTACAGCATTTTCCGCGGCGCCATTCGAAGACGGGTGATAAGCAGGCGAGAAACGTTGCTGAATACCATTTCGTGTTAAAAACTCCTTAAATTCCGCGCTAGTGAAGGGTGGCCCTTGATCCGATACTAGCTCTAGTGGTAAGCCGAATCTTGCGAACGTACACCGTAATACCTTAATAACCGCTGTAGCATTTGTTTTTGGCATTTCAAACACTTCTAGCCATTTCGTACTGGAGTCTATTAAAATAAGAAATTTTTTTCCGTTAAAAGGGCCTAAAAAATCTATATGGAGTCTGCTCCATGGCTGCAAATGGTACGGCCAAGGCTGCGGTGGGGTGCGCGGGGGTGCTTGTGACTCCACCGCGCACGTCTCACATGCTCGGCATTCGGATTCGACGTCTGTATCTATATTAGGCCACCATACGTAACTTCGAGCTATGGACTTAGTTTTAACAATGCCCATGTGACCAGTATGTAATTGCATAAGTATTTTTTTTCTTAAAGTGCGCGGTATCACCAAGCGGTAACCCCACATAATACAGCCCCTATCTATGTATAGTTCATTACGTTTAATATAATATTGCTGCAACACTTCTTTTGGGCAGGACGCGGGCCATCCGGACTGAACATAGGTTAAAATTCTACTTAATTCCGGATCGCTTGCTGTTGCCGTTCTGACGTCATCATTTGTGACCGGGAGAAAATTTTCTACGAAATTAATGTAATTCATTCCCTCCGACTTCGGAAGCCGTTTATGTACCGGTTGCGGCAAACGAGATAACGCATCTGCACAATTTTTGTGTGAACTTACATATTCTATGTCATAATTGTATCCCGACAATAATACTGCCCAACGCTGTAATCTCGAAGCGGCCATAACTGGAATGCCCACTTTACTGCCGAAAATATACGTCAAGGGTTTGTGATCAGTCCTTAAAACGAATTTTCTACCATATAAGTACTGATGAAACTTTTTAATACCGAATATTATTGCTAAGGCCTCTCGATCTATCTGCGCATAGGCCCGCTCGGCCGCGCTGAGCGTACGCGACGCATATGCGATCGGCCGCTCTCCCTCCTCAGTGATATGCGATATCACGGCGCCGACTCCGACCCCGCTGGCGTCCGCCGTCAGTACCACGGGTAAGTCTAACGTATAATGAGCAAGCACTTCGCTCGAACTTAATATTTTTTTTACTTCATTGAATGCCAATTGACACTCAGTACTCCACAGGAATCGAACCCCGGTTTTTAGCAAACGATATAACGGGGCCAGCAATGAACTAACATTTCGTACGAATTTACCATAATACATTACTAGCCCGATGAAAGATCGCAGTTCTGAAATATTGGTGGGTGCAGGCGTGTTTACAATTGCCCGGACTTTTTCCGGACACGTGTGAACACCCTCTTTACCAATGACGTGCCCTTAGTAGTTAATAGATTCTGCGAAAAATACACATTTTTCTTTCTTAACGCGCAACCCGTGAGACTGCAATCGCTCGAACACTTTATATAAATTTTTTATGTGACTACGACTATCAGGACCCGTTATAATTACGTCATCTAAAAACACACCCACGTTCGGTAACCCTGTCAATAATTCTTCTAAGTGTTTTTGAAAAATTCCTGGACTCGACGACAAGCCGTAAACTAGTCGATTGTACATGTATAAACCCTTATGTGTATTGATAACCGTATACTTTTTTGATTCGTCAAGCTCAAACTGAGCGTACGCCTGAGATAAATCAATCTTACTGAAACGTTCACCGCCATGTAAACGCGATAACAAATCATCTATGCGTGGCAAGGGATAACGGTCGACTTCTAGCACTTTATTCAGTGTTAATTTATAATCAGCGCATATCTAATATTACCATCCTTTTTGAGAACGGGTACAATGGGTGTGGCCCAGTCGGAGCGCTCCACCGGCGTGAGGACGCCGTCTCGCACCAGCTGCTCGAGCGCTCGCTCCACCGGTTCCCGCAGCGCATACGCCAGAGGACGCGCGCGCATGAACACCGGCCGCGCCCCCTGCCGCAGGTGGATGCTAACCCGCCCGCCGCTGAACCGTCCAAGCCCATCCGCAAATACTTCACTGAATCTATACATAAAATTACTTTCGTCAAAATCCTTATAATTAACATTGTTTACATCGTGATACTGAAACACTGGTAGTTGAATTTTAAGTTCGGCTAACCACTGTCGACCCAAAAGAACGGTTTTACCATCTCTGATTATGAACAAATTTAATTTTTTTTGTGTATTTTTATACCTCACTAGTGGCGTAGCCACCCCCACCGGACGAACTATTTCACCTGTGTAATATCTAAGTAAAACATTACATTTGCTGATAGGTAAATCACTAAAATTATGTTTATAAAATTTGTAACTTATACAAGATACGGCGCTACCCGTGTCACACTCCATGTCAATATCTTTTCCGTGAACGTTGATTGAAATACATAGCGGTGTACACTCTTCTATGGATAATTTTTTTATATCAAATATTCTTACCTCGTCACTGTCCGTCTCGTCCGATTCGACCACTTTAGGTGTTCCGATGTCTACGTGATGGTACGTCGTCAGGTTTGGGCACATCCGACGTAGATGCCCCTTACGATTACATACTCTGCACACATATGCCGCGAACCGACACTTCGTGCCGCCATGGGGTCCACCGCACGCAGCACATTGTTGTGCTCCGTCCGCTGCTTTTCCTTGCTGCCGCTGCCACCTCGATGCCGTAGGTGCCGTCCTCCCTGGCCGACCGCGTCCGTTGCCACTTCGAGTCGCTGCCATCGCCTGGCACTCAGCCGTGCTCGAGCTGCCCGACGATTCACCTTGCCCGTATCCTTCCACAGCCGCTGCATCCTTCTCCGCCGCCTCCATGTTCACTGCCAAGCTATACGCTTTCCCATATTCCAACGTGCCTTCTGCGAATAGTCGTTGCCTTATCGTTTCACTTAGAATACCGCACACCAGCTGATCTCTTAAACTTTCTTCCAACCATTGACCAAATTCACAAGATTTCGACATTCTCTTCAATATTGCTGCATACTCCGCTATTGTTTCACAACTTTTTTGTTTCCTATGCCGGAATTTATATCTTTCTGCGAGGGTACTTGGTTTTGGTTGGAGATGTTTTTCTAGAATGTTTGTGATTTCCAAAAAAGATTTATCTTTTGGTTTGGTTGGAGTACATAAATTCACTAACAGTTCGTAACACTCGGCTCCCATCACGGTAATTAACGTCGGAACTTGTAAATCCTCCGAAATTTTGTTGACAACAAAATATTGTTCGAGGCGGTCGACGTATGACCTCCAATCGTCCTTATGTAGGTCAAACTCAGGAATTCTTCCAATCGACATTTTAATTAAATACTTGTCGTTTACAAATACTTTTCCAAGAGTTCGTTGCTATCCTCGTCGCCACTGAGAGATTTCTGGATAACTCGGTATTTAAATAATAAACACTGTGTGACTTCATAACATGTATTGAGCGACTCACTCGAGAAGACGCGCGGTGGCGCCTACCTACATAATACAATATTGATTTATACCTACATATATCACAGCTTGCACAATATTTATTTTGCATTCTCACCCATTTATTCATTACAGCCATTTAAAAGTCCACTGCTGAACGTAGACCTCCCCATAGAACACCATTACTCTTACTGAGAAAATACTATCTCCATACTAAAAAAAAAAACCAGCGAGTCTTACAGTAATTGCATATGATGTGTAACATCTGACATCTCACCTTGGTAATAAGCAACATTAACATATATCCTGAAAAAACGTGGTACGTGGTACGTGGTAGAGCCATGCTGCAGCAATATTAGTAGTATAGTTGTAGCATGAATAGGTCTGCTCGACCGGGGAAGGATCACGCTCTCACAGAATACCAGCGTAATATGACAGCTTGACACTGCTGTGTTTCGTGTGGTGAGTGTAGAGAACCGGAGACCTATTTTACTGGAAAAGAGGCCTAAGTGCCTAAGGCTGATATTAGTGCTCGACCGACGGTCAGCACGTACCGTACGCGCTGACGGTACGTCGTGATCGTTGGTCGAGGCCAAGCGTTTAGTGCTTCACTGACGGCAAGCTTTGTTAGAGGTGTACAATTACGAAGAAAAACGAATCCATTTAACTCTATAATATGTGCGTACTATTTACGCAAACGATTACGGTGTAAAAGACGGAGAAGATATCATGTGCACCCAATAATTGTAAACCTTTTAATTGAAGGACAATTTAGTTCACTGTATTCGAAATTGCGAGAACAATGTTCATGTATCAATGTTCATTTTTATTCGCGATAATGCGTACGCGCGTACGGTCGGTCGCTCTGTCAGCGTCGCACTGAACGCACGCATGTACCGCCATAGCGCGTCAGTCAACCGACGTACGTCGGACCGACGAGCTCGACCTACGGTCCTCGTATGCGCGATGTAGCCGTACGCGCGTAGTACTTCATCAGCGCTGCACTGTAGCCGTTAATAGGTTTTTATTGATAGAGCTACGCTCAACCGATGTCAGCGCTCATCGTCGGTCGAGCACTAAATCCAGCTTAAGTCCTTAGGGGTGCCAACAAATTTGTATTTTGATTCTTAATTGAGGATAGCCACAGCATCCACTTACCATCAGGTGGACTGTGTGCTCGTTTGTCACCCTTGCTGTATAAATAAATTAAAAAAAAGTTATAAGTACGCACAACACGACAACGCATCTGTAGCCGTTTTATTTGAAGTTGGTTGTATGTCCATGGAATGCATTAGTCACTTACTGTCAGGTGGTCTGAAGTTCGTTTGTCACTTCAGTTTAAAAAATAAACAACTAAATGAAATATTTAGGGCTTCGTTTTAATATTGTATAACTAAACTAGTTCATTTCCGCGGCTTTGCCCGTGTGGACTTTTTTGAGGAGAAAACTTATTTAGAATCGTTGTGATCTGAAACTCGATGAAACAAAAAGTGACACTAAAAAGAGACAAATATGTATATACATGTATTGGAATTAAACTGCGCGAGAATGAGACAGATACAGTATACAGTGTTTCCTATTATGTATAGAGATAATGCATGTGATCTATGAGATAGGCCCGTATGGACTTCGCGTTAATATCATCATTATTCTTGTTTCATGACAATATTTGCGGTCACCTTGTTGTTTGTCAGTGTGTCTGTCTGTCTATTTCAAGCATTCTTCTTAGAGTTCATATTAATTCGTTCACTCCGAAATATTTTTAGTGTAAATTTAAAAAAAAAAATGGGTGAGTATCGTGGAACACTCGGTTGGAACGAAGTTCCTTGCGTAGTATATTATTATTGATAAACGTAGGTATTATATTATTGATTAACAAATACAAATAAATGAATTACTAGCGTCTATTAAAATGAAGCGTCATTTGAAATAAAATAATATTTCTTTCATGGCAATATAAGAAAAAGTGCGAGGGAGATGGACATTATTCCATCTCACTGCTTTATTTCGGCGCCAAGGCCGTCTACACTATGACACAAGGGGTAGTGACGAAAAAATTTTACACTTTTTGTCGCCTAGCTCCCTTCCGCCAGGGACTTAAATACCGTTAAAATACAGTAACGTTATTTGCGCAAGTGCGAGATAACATAATGTTATCTCGCACTTGCGCAAATAACGTTACTGTTTAAGAGAAACGATATGTCAAAACGATATTATGCAAAGCTTTGCATGTATATAACGTTATAATTACGTTACAATAAATTCGTCAAATAAACGTTTCTAAAATATTGTTATCACAAAATCATAACGTTATTTGCGCAAGTGCGAGATAACATTATGTTATCTCGCACTTGCGCAAATAACGTTACTGTTTAAGAGAAACGATATGTCAAAACGATATTATGCAAAGCTTTGCATGTATATAACGTTATAATTACGTTACAATAAATTCGTCAAATAAACGTTTCTAAAATATTGTTATCACAAAATCATAATGTTATTATTTATTGGTCTATGCCATCTCTTTTACTCGTATGATCTATCGAACGCAGTGCTCTAAAATTATAGGCTAAAAATACGTTTTGTGGTCGTTAGGCGGAGCAATTGAATTATCAACTGTAGTAGTACATACAACTCGGAATATGGGTGTTTCAAAATAAATAGTTCATAAACTTTGTATTACATTCATAATAAAATTATGTTCTTAATATCTTACCGCATACATTAAGGATTGTGTAGACAAAATAATTGTATAGAAGTTGAAATATTCTTCTATATTATTGTTAAACTAGATTATAAGTATGTTAGATTGCCCTTGAATTTCATAAGTAATGTGAAAAAAAACATGTGTGAGTGTCGTGGAACACTCGGTTGGAACGAAGTACATTTCGCAGTATATTATATTATTATTATTGATAAACGTATTATATTATTGATTAACAAATACAATGAATTACTACTCGTAGCGTCTATTAAAATTAAGCGTCATTTAAAATAAAATAATATTTCTTTCATGGCAAGATAAGAAAAAGTGCGAGGGAGATGGATATTATTCTATCTCGCTTTTTTATACGTCAGAAGGGGTCGTGACGGAAAAATCTTACATTTTTTCTCGCCTAGCCCCCATCCGCCGAATTCGTACCGTCCGATAAGGAACTTCGTTCCAATAAGTCTGCCTTGTCTATTTAATTTGTTTGAATTCCAGGTTGATCTATCCACATATCAATACATAGTTGAAACTCTACTTAGCTTATCTGCTTATACTACATCAATCAAGTAGTATTGAAGTGACACCAAGAAAGACGATAATGTTAAAAAAATATCTAAATTAAAGAGAAGAATAATAGACAAAGAAAAGAGTTAAAAAATGGACATGCTCAAAAGAAAGTATAGGATAGATCTAAAGGAAAAAAAAGTAAAGTAAAGTTGCAGCCTATTTACGTCCCACTGCTGGGCACAGGCCTCCTCTCATTTCTGAGAGGGTTTTAGGTCAAGGAAATGTCCGCCGCACTGCTCCAATGCGTGTTGGTGAACTTCACATGTCTTAGAAATATTTTTTTTCTTATTTCTCAGACATGCAGGTTTCCTCACGATGTTTTCCTTCACCGCCGAGCACGTGGTAAATCAGCACTTAAAATTGCAATTAACAATTTCATTGGTGCCGGTGGGGATCGAACCCTGTGCTCTAGTACTGTGAAGCTTACAGCGGGCGCTAACCATCTGAGCTACCACGGCTCTCGATCTAAAGGAATTCAACATATATATATATATATATAATACAAATTCTCTGCCACTTCAAAGTATATTAGTATTAAGTGATTTTCTTTCCATGCACATAAGAAAAGAACTTAGTTTTGCAATATATTAAATGTGGATAGATAGGAAGAGTTTTGCTAAACAAACTTAAGTGTGAAGACATTATCGCAGTTTGGCATTCTGAGCTTCTCAGCATAATGATGTAAAATCGTTAATATATTTATTTATATCCTTAAAGATAAAATAGGTTAAATTTACCCATCAAAAGACGTGATTGATGTATACGTGATATTTTGTGAAACAATATTAAGAGCAAAAATTTAAAATAATAAGGTTTAAAAATTTTAATAAATACAAATTATATATATATTTTTAAAAACGTTATCTCCACAAATTTTACTTTTATAATTAGATTTTCTCCTGTATCGCAGGGAACGTTTACATACATAGATTTCACAAGGATAAACATCTAGACCTAGAACAATTATTTGTAGGCCATACAAATATTTATTCCGTTCGGGAATCGAACCCGCGGCCCTTAGCGGTGCAACTCATTGTTAAGCCACTGCGACACGGAGCCGTCAATTAATTGTCACCAGGATTCTATATAATTTTTAGTTTTTTTGGTTTGTTACGCTAAAAAAGTGTAAATTCCTACGTGCGTATATAAGTACACACACACTTTTTTATTACATTAAGCATCTTTCAACTTAAAGAACAGTGCAATTTTCATAAAAATCACTTCAGTAGTTTTCAAGATATGTTCTGTCTAAGTGTAAAGTCGGTTTCAATTTTTAACCCACTTTAAAAAAGATGGTTATCAATTCGACACGAATGTATGTAATATTATTGGAACTGCAAAATATTCACATATAATTATCTAATATACAAAATTTTATACGTCTATATAAGTATGTATGTTTATCCACGCATTTCTCCGAAACTAGTCGGATCGTGATCATTCGTTTTTTATTTATTTCAACTTAGGAATTATTTGCTTACATTTATTTCAACTTAGGGAATAATATCGATTTCATCAAAATCGGTTGACTAGTGTTTATGATATTGGCTAAAATAATATTGATAGTTTTATTAAAAATGTGTGTTTTATCAAATATTTGCGTAAATCTAAAAAAGTATGCCATCAAAAACATAACTTGTAAAAAAACCAACTCTCGCAACTCAGATCTTCTACCGTAAAAAGTTGTGAGATCCATGTAATACCAAGTCGGTTAATTTATTCAGTCCCTACTTAAGGGTTCTTCAGTCTCAAGTTATTAAGTAATTAGCTAACCTAACAACATCTTATAGTGACCACATCAATACTAAAGATGTTTTATATTTTAAATAAATAGATTGACTTGGCCATCGCATGAAAACTGTATCTCTCAAGTAATACATATTATATTAAATTAGATTGTTTAGTGCGATTGCCAAGTCAATTTATATCTAAAGGGAA